CACCACCTCAATATATTGCTACATAAATATGGTACGTAGGCCAATACCTCTATTTTTATGAATTAATATATTTACATAGGTACATACCTATGTTTTTACCTCTATCCATAGCTTTGCTTCCTAGATGTTTCCTCTGTTTTCTTTTACCTTGTTCCTGCTTCCGCCTCTTAGTAATTGCTCTCAGCTGGATTGCTGTAGCTCCAACACCTCGGCATCTCTACATCCTCCTTGTTGTTGAGTTTAATTCCCTAGTTGTTCCTCTGTCTATAGTGTTGTTTGCCCACCACTCCCTTCCCCCATCTGCTCCTCCCTCAAGTCCTTAGGAACTGTTACTTACTCCTCAGTCTTTCTTCCCATGCCTATTTTTCCCCCCATGCCTATTTTATATAGGTGGGCAAACCAACAATAACCAAGACAAAACCAAAAGAAAACAAAAGATTGAATAAAAAGGGAAAAAAATAACTAGAACCCCCCCGCCCCCCGAAAAAGCATACATAGTTCCAGGTCTGCCTGCAGACCTTTATGACTATCTCCCTCTGATCCTGGAGAGTTCTAGGAACTGCCCCTCCTAACCTGAAGTCTACTTTGGGGGGTCCTCAGGGGCTTTGTGGCTTTGCTTTGTTCCTATTTCTGATCTGTTATGTTCTCTTCTTGGTTTGCTTGAACCCACTTTGGGGGTTCAGACCGGCCTCACTCCCGCCTTGTGTCCCCAGTATTGTCCTCTGTTGCAGTATGCTCCAGCAAGGGGACATCATGTCTCGAGCTGTTATAGGCCCTATAGTCCTTTCTGAGCCTTAGCAGCTCCATGCAGTGATGTCCTCCTCAGGGCTTGGTGTGCCAGTGTAGAGCCCCACTCTCTCTTTTTCCTTCTTGGTTTGCTTCCCTGTGGGCGTGGCATGCCAGTCCCTCTCCCCATCCTGTAGGTTTCGTGTTGTCCTCTGCAGCACATACTAACAGGGAGGGGGCCCGTTTGGCTCTGATTAGGGCCGGCCCTGTTGCCCACTCTACTCATGAGTTACTCCGTGTGGTTACGTTGCCCTCAAGGTTTGGCATGCTATGGTCTCACCACTCAATTTCATTCAAGCAAAATATTTTGAACACCTACACACTGTGGGAATGCAAATGAAA